TTTTTTACCAGCCATATTAAACGGCTCGCTTTTTGTTAACATTTCAAGTTCTGTTCCCTGTTCCTTGGAGTCTGCGTTTTGGGTCCTTTTGTCAACCCCTACAGTCTGCCCTCGCCAGACTGTGACAGTTTTTTTAGTACAGGATGATTATCCATTGATCAAACAATTCAAATCTGGTTCTATTAATATTTCTCATTGTAGTTTTTATATAGCTGTCACTGGATTGCAGCTCGAATGTATACCACTTTGTCTAAGATGGATTTGGAGTTATGATTAGGCTGTGATAAAACGTTCTTCGGTTTATTCTCAGGTTGATGATAAAGTCTGCGAGAATGGTTGTTACTGCCCACATGATCAATATGAAGATCACCATGGAAACTGTGTATCAAGGGACAACTGCACCTGTGTGTACAGTGGTAAAGTCTTCAGGGCAGGAGAGACTGTTAAAACCAACTGTAAAAACTGGTAACACACTCATAAGTGGCACTTTACTATTTAACTGACAACATTTAGTTCATCCTCAAACTATCATGGTTTCCTGTCTCTGTCTTGCAGTGTCTGTGGTTGGGGTCAGTGGGACTGCACAGATGAGCCGTGTCCCGGGACATGTCAAGTCTATGGAAATGGACATTATCAGACCTTTGACTCTAAATGGTATCAATTTAGTGGACACTGTCAGTACACACTTGTAGAGGTGAGACCAAGCACGAAAACTGACATAAAAAGCTCAGTAGTGTGTAGAATTGTTTGCATCACAGTTACACATCACTTTACCTGTCTTATCATTATTTTATTTTTTTAGGATTACTGTGGAAAACCAAACGGCAGCTTCTCTGTCAGAGTGGAGAGCGTACCCTGCTGTGAAGAAGTACTCACCTGTTCTCGCTCCATTGTCCTGGACCTGCAGGTTTGTATCTCTTTCTGCGATGAATTTGCTGACCAAGTGGCATTAATGATTGAATTTTCAAGCTTTACTTTGATGGTAATGGCTGTCATAAAGTAGAAGATGCTTAATACTAGTTTGTCAGTTACAAGATATGGATTTTAATTCTTTTGCTTTGATCCAACAAGGGCAAAGCCACGCTGACTCTGAGTGACATGAAGGTGACCAAAAACCTACAGCAAGGCTGGACTCTGCAGGAGGATTCACTTTACAGTATCGACACTGTGGGACTCTACGTCATAGTGTCAGTGCCGAGCAGCGGGATCACTCTCATCTGGGACAAACACACACGGCTCACCATAAAGCTGCATGAAAACTGGAGGGTGAGCAATGGAAATCTGCACA